AAGGGTTTTATAGCAATTTATAGATATTTTAGTGATTTATAGCGTTTTTTTAGCGAAAAGACTTATAGCAAGTATATGATAATAAAATATCAGATTCATTTTTATTCGATTACAAACATATCGGGAGGTTTATATAGGGTCATATCGGGGCTAAACTAATTTTATATTTACATACATATGCACAGTACTTTCGGCTAAATCAGTTTGTGGCATGATGTACTGTATATCGTATCACATGTATCACCCTAGCTCCCTGCCAGTTCCATGACAGTTCTAGGAGAGTTCCAGGAGCTGGCGAGTTTCTATAAATCACGAGATGATCGGCCAATCAGATTTCACTTCCTTGATCTATTGACATGATAGCTAAGCCATCATTATTATTCATTTCTTTAATTAATATTGTAACTTATTGATTTATAAAACAGACGATCAATTTGGTAAAACTTTATTTTTTCAAGCCATTATTAAAACCACTAGCGAAAAATTAATAGGTTTAGCTTAATATCGATGACATATGTTTGTTTTATTAAGATAATATAAAAAGTACAGCAATAAAAATATTATTTTCTTAATCGTGATAATTTTTTTGCGTTGATTGCTTCTGAGTACCGGCCTACCCTTCTTTTCTTTCTATGATCAATTAACGCACCACGTGTTGCATTAACGCATAACTATATTTATGCATAACTCGTTAGTATCAGTCGTATCACATGCAAATAAAAAACGTATGAAAGTACTTACTGCCCATTTTATTACCGCCTCATATAACCATGCAAAGTTTGGCATATCAGCCCAATCCCTTGGTAGGCCGAAATTATCGACTTCGAACAATCTGTGTGTGCCTGAAAAGTTGAATAATGTTAATTACTAGGTTTTGTGCAATATTTCAAACTAAGTTTACATCACATACTGCGAAAATCCATCATAGTTAACGAAACCTCAGTTTTGAACGCAGTAATTCCATATGTTCTTAAGTCCGTAAATAGTTGTCGACGAGCATCAGCCTCTGAAATGACAATATTATTATAAAGTTCTACCATACTTTTTGCATTTTTTACATCATCATCAACACTTTTTTGTTGTGATGCTCCAGGCCTCGCCCCTTCACCGCAGACAATGGGATAATTGATGACGTCATTAAGAAATCCTACACCGTCCGCACGTACTTTAGTTTTCATACCTTTCAATGGTATTTCTCCGCTGAACAATGCAAAGCACTTTTAGTCATCAATACAATCTATGCAATAAATGAAAGTTCAAAGTCACTTACTATATATAATTAACTTTCGCAAAGATCCACAATGCCGAGTCTATAATTGGGTGTACGAACTGATTTAAGTGCGGTTTCTCTAATATTGTTATGTCTCTCAATGGGTTAAGAGTAGTTAATGAAAAAGCCTTTAAACTATAAAATAATAAATTGGTTAGAATTTATTAAGATAAATTACAATGAAATTTTCCTACTTACAACTTTGGCAATGTTTCCTTAATTAATTTTTTTGTATTCATTAAAATATCTGAATCGGTATTACTAATGATTGTATTGTTGATAGCATCATCCCAACCTCGAGCACTATGATCTTCATTGAAAAAATTTATAAGATATTCGTGGATTTCGTTTGTTATATAGTTGTTGTCAATATAATCAAATATTTCGTGTAAAACTTCTTTTTGAAGGTCAGGGTTAAGAGATAATGAAAGTTTTGACTTTGGACGTAAATCCATAATCGGCGTTTTAGGGAAGTTTTTAAAAAATAAATCGGTGAGTTCTTTTTCAACTTTTGATGCTATAATCGTGTCTTCTAGGATACTCTTCACACATATCGTCTATACAAATGAACGAAAATCGTCTTGTTACTAAATCACTAACGGAAAACATCAACAGAATAAATTACACCAACATTATCATTTTCATCTTCGGCTTTAATTTCCTGATCTTGATCAACGTTTAAATTTTTTTCACAACCTTCCCATGAACTTGTTTCATTATTGTTAAAACACTGTAAATCGAGGATATTCATGATTAATCCATATCTGATAGTTAATGGTAAGATGATAACGCTTTTATTTTACCGTTCTGGGTGATATTGATGCACCATCTTCGTCTGTTGCACTAATCATTGAAGATTGCGGTTCAACTAGACCTCTCTATAAGGATAGGTAATAGTAGGAAAGACTGATTAAGACTACAAGTGTCAGGTTGACTCATTCCTCCTGTCTCTTACCTCATTTGTTAATCCAGCCATTCTCTGAGATGAAAAGTTACAATGTAATATATCTGTTTCTAATTGCCGTACTCTTTCTGCGAACTGCAATTCGAAATTACGCTCATAGAATTTATTATACCACCGCATGCAACTTTCTAGGACCGAAACACCTTCAAAGCTATTAGTTACGTTAAGTAGTTCGATACAAAGTGAAGATACACAGCCCGGAATTCCTTTATGGTTTGTTTCCCTAATGTTTTAAGCGATTGTAACCAATCTTCATAAATTTGTACCCAGGGTATGATTACTCTTTCATTTCTAAGACGATAGTTAAGGTAATGCTTCAGTTGCCAGTACTGAGCTTCGACTTTTTTAAAGTATTCATTTACGATCGTTTCTTCGCCAATACTGTCGGGCAATGTATAGTGCATGTATTTTGTTGTTCTTAAAGTTGCTGTCATATTAAGAATTTATAATTAAGGTAAAGCGGATCAAGGCGAGAAATAAATTTATAATGTTTATAGTGATGATCAAGTTACGCGTTACGCGATAATTTTTTAACTATCTCCATGCCGTATTTTGATTGGCCGTTCTTTTGTCGATCACTGAATTTTATAATAGTCGCATGTCGCTTTTTTTTCGATATTATACTTGAGGATGCAACTATGCTGAAGTTTCTCGTGACGGCCGGTCAATCGGCGGTGAGAACTTCCCTTTGTATCTTTAGATACTTAGGAGAAGCCATTCTTCATGTCGGCCGGTCAATCGGCGGTGAAGTATTGAGTTGCTTGGTGTCTAACAACTACTCGCGTCGGCCGGTCAATCGGCGGTAGCAGTTGATCCACTGATTTTGCCGAAGTTTCTTGTGTCGGCCGGTCAATCGGCGGTGAGAACTTCCCTTTGTATCTTTTGATACGTAGGAGAAGCCATACTTCATGTCGGCCGGTCAATCGGCGGTGAACTTATGAGTCAGTGGGTATTCAAGTTATCTCTTGATAGTCGCCAGCCTCTTATCAGCCATTCTCGATCATATTTAATTAATAACATACACTTTAAAATGTATACATACACGATTGATCCGAGTGAAAACTTTATTATGAGAAAAAGATAAGTGATATGGTGCTCTCTTACATTTTTTACGAAAAGTATCTATAATTATACTTCTATTGCTAATTACGAAATTATTATCACCACTCTTTACTACACTAAATTTTATAAATAAGTTATCACACCCATTTCTACGCCTATCTCTCCAACTCGCACTGACTATGCTAAAGATTATTTCCCGCAAGAGAACTTCATCGAGATGAAAAAACTTCGAATCTATAACATAAATTCCGGAGATTATCAACTGAGGTAAAAATAAGCATTATAATATTTCCGATTCACACTTACCACTAAGACTCATTTTCACAGCATTCACTTCCGCCTTGTATTTAGGAAATTTGTTGCTTAGAGCGTTGTAATCAAGGTATGTCGATTTTTTTATCGCCAGTATGATACTGCGCCAAATTTTGAAAATCAGATGATAGGAAAGCCACAGCAATTTTACTGCGCTGATAAAACATATTAGATTAGACGTAATACTGCTAGTTATTTCACTGCGCCTATTATACGCATGATGATAGTCAAAGATTTTCTCGGCGAAGATCAAAATGCCGATATATAACAAGAGCAATATGTCCGTTTTATTTTGGAACATCTATAGAGGCGAGAAAATCGATTAACATCGTGATGACATGTTTCAAGAAGCTAGCCGAGCAATAAACCAACTTACTTTATTATTATTTTGCGGAAAATACAAGTTCGTTTGATTAGAG